CACACACACACCTCATGTAATAACTCTATGTTTGTATGTATAACCAAGATCTCTCTCACCCTCTCCCTGCCTTTCTCACACATGCAAACGCCCACAGCCTTTATGCGGTCTAGGCCCCATGAATGTGTTTTGTTTTCAGACAGATAAATGAATAAAGTTAATAATGCATATAGACACTAAGCTATTGTATGATTCCAGGTGTAGCACTAGAATGTGGGGAACCTCAGACCCGTGACCAAATATGAACCTCCAAGTCTTTCTGTCTGGCCCTTGAGACTCCCTCTAGAGCACATTTATATTAAGGTTGCCAGATTTTTTTCAATGAATCCGGGGACACTTTTCAAATTCAATGGATTTTGTATGGGGGCAGGTCTGTAAATCTGGGGACTGTACCCGGGAAACGGGGACATCTGGTAACCTTAATTTATATTCCCCAGGTCACATCCCTCACCAGTACCGCTTCCTAACACCCTAGAATGCTTTGCCTGGATGGAATGTGCCCTTGAACGCTGTCAGTACATTTTGTTTGCCTGGATGGAGGGCAGAGAGGGGAATGTGCTTGTGTAAACTCGCCTGTACAAAGGTAAAATTCATATTTGTTCCTCCAATTATTCCACAGGACCCACCTTCCACTCACATGATGTGGCTCCTGAAAGGTTGCCCAGAAACAAATGTGGCCCTCAGGCTGAAAAGGGTTTCCCACTAGAACATCCCATATCAAACACCTTTGTTATTTCCTATGGCACCTTTCAGCCCTAAAAGGACCCCCAGCTTCCAGATTAAAATACAAAAGCAAAATAAAAATAGCAGCAACACAATCAATAAAACAAAAGCCAAGGACATGTGGCAATCTCAAGAAGTAGGGCATGACATTCATTCTCCTAGTGTTTCAGCAAAGGATAACTGAGATGTGTGGTTCTGCAGACACAGTAGGAACAGAACTATAGTTTCCCAACCTATTACTGAGGTCAGGGACTTGTTCCACTTTGGGAAGCATTGGTGTAGGAAAACAAGCTTTGGACTAAGGGAGTTGGAGCCTCTTCAGCAAATTAGACCTACCTAGGTTATGGTCCCTGGCCAGCAATCTACAGATCCACCTCAGGGTTTTTACACCTTGTTGGTGGAAGATTTGACTGTCTTGACCAAACCTGGGGATAACTAAAACATTAAAGCAAGAGAGGCTAGTGCGCGAACATTTCCTTTCCCCTTTATTGCTTACCGGCAGAGTATTTGGGGATGTTGTCTTAGTTCAATGCAGTGCAGCAATGTGATGGACCAGAGAAGAGCAAAACAGCTGCCTCTGCAGCCAGCATGTTCACACTAAACCATGGTTTAGTGCAGGCATAGGCAAACTCGGCCCTCCAGCTGTTTTGGGACTACAACTCCCATCATCCCTAGCTAACAGGACCAGTGGTCAGGGATGATGTGAATTGTAGTCTCAAAACATCTGGAGGGCCAATTTTGCCTATCCCTGGTTTAGTGTGATGTGCCACCAAGCCACTGCATGAATCAGGGGCATTGTTATATATGTAAAGAATTGGGACAAAGGTACATGACACAAATTTGCATAACATTTTCATATATGAATATGTCTGTATAGATGCAACTGGACAAATCAAGTTGTCCACTGCAGTGTGTTCAGCTACCCCAAAAGCATTTTTTAAAAGGTTTTTATTATTTAAACATGAGTTTTAAAAAGGGAGACAAAAAGGCAGGAGATTCGGGGCCTGGCGTGAAAGACCCTGGGACTCCACCCCACTTGGCCATCCCCTAATGGTTTCCCAAGTAACAACCTCTTCCTTCTTCTCCCATGCCTCCATTATGTACGCTTGTACAGTCTGAATATTATCAGAGAGAAATAAAATATTTCTATTTAATCTCTCCATGCCAGCATATTTTCATATAAAGCAGAACCTGCATGCAAGATCCGCAACAATCCCCAGATTAGCCAGAATCTCATATCAAGCACCTTTTGACACAGAGCAACGTTGAGAAACAAACTGAGCCATGAGGAAACCAAGTCACTAAAAATCAGCA